AAATTTGTCTGCGCCTATCAATAAATCAATATTTTGCGATTCATAAAAAAGTGGATCGGCCAAATTAATATTTTTCGGAATAATAAATTCCGTATCCTGCATGTTAACAGCTGGTAACGATGACGTAATAGTCGGCAGCACAAAACATTGTAGTTTCGTGCTGTAATGGCCGTTGCGCGATTTAATTTTTACGTCGCAAATAAGTGATGATTTTGTGACGGATTCACCAACTCCTCGTACTTCTTGTGTGGACTGTATTACTGGCGGCTTTAATAAATCACACAATGCTTGTGTAATGAAACATCTCTGGCTACCATTGTCTAAAAGCGCGCGCGCAATATGATAATTATTTTCGTTGTCTGATATCTCAACCAAAGCCGTTGACAACAAAACAGGTTTCATGCAAGCCCCGCGTAACAAATTATTTACGTGCGCTTTGTTTGCTTGTATTACGGTATCTTTTTGCACCGATGAGAAGGATGGCAGGAACGGGGTGAAGCCCGCGGGGGACACGGCCCGCTCCTCGGCGCTGAGGAGCGGCACTGACTGCGAGTTCTCAGTGGCGTGCGACAGATGAAGTGCAACAGATCTATTAGCGTCATCAGATTTATCATGACTATCGAAATGTATAAGCGAGTTATGCTTTTTGTTGCACAATCTACATGGCCCGAACCTACAAGTTTCGACAGTGTGACCGGAACGTAAACAATTGTTACAAAGTTTTTTATCGCTTATAAACTTAAGCTTTGAATTTAAATCGTAATCGAGAAACCTTTGGCAAGAATACAGTGGATGATTTGCGTTACACATTAAACATAGCTTTCTCGTTTGCTCACGCACACGTTCCGGTGTCTTATTTGTGGAAACAGCGCAATGGATTTTGCTTGAACTTTGTGTAAACTGTTTTTTATTTTCGAAGTTATTTTTATTATGTGATAGTTGCAGTGTTTCCAGCATGTCGGCGCGGTCCTTTAGGAAGGTCATTAGGTCATCCACTGTAAGCTGTGCCCTAGGACTACTATTTCTCGAAAATAAAGTGCCTTTATACTGCTCCCATTCGCGTTCTGTAGTAGGGTCTAATTTAGAAACGATCATGTATATAATCAAGGTGTCCCACGACTCAGTTGGCTCACCCAAAACTTTCAAAGCACGTAAGTTTTTTAACACTGTATCTATCAACCTTCTGATAAGAACATGCGACTCTTTAGCTAGACATTGCATAGTAAATAATGCTTTAACGTGATTATGCACTAACAGTCTGCTATTATTATATCGATTGAGAAGCAATTCCCACGCAACGATATAGTTATCACTAGATAATTCGACTGAATTTATAACTAACTCCGCGCTTCCCTTGAGGGATGATTTGAGATAGTGGAACTTTTCTATATTGCTAAGCTCGTTAGAATTGTGCACTAAAGATAGAAAAGTGTCTCTGAATTCAAGCCACTGCTCGCATGAACCATTGAAGGTAGGCATCGAAATAGTAGGTAACTTTACAGATTTAATGCTGTGACTACACCTATTAGAACTGTCAGCGACCTGATTAGGATTTAATAAATATTCAGCTTGCGACATGATGGCATAGTAACTGTCTTCGAACAGTTCCCTTTGCGTTAACTGCTCATCTACATCAGAGGCTAACTCTTCAAGCTTATTTTGAATGTCACTAAATTCACCAAATAAATTAGCTGCTCCCTGAACACGCAACTTTAGGTCTATGCGGTTTTGTGCCGATATAGAATCTAGATTGAGCAAACTGATATAATTTGAAAATTTAGTCAATCTACCCTTCACAATACCTCGCTTCTTTACTAAGTCTCTGAACAAGGTATCATTACTTGACTTGTAGGGAGACTTATCGCGAACATGACCAGATTCTAAGCTCATTTTGGTGAAGTATGGAATGGATTAGGTACTCACGTTTGCAAAGCAACTGCCTCAGTGGAATAATTAGGTAGCAAGCACAATACACCAGCAGAAATTCTCACTGAAATCACATGAAAAGCACAGTATTACACAGTGGAAATGGAGTTGAAGATGGATAGGCAGGATGGCTGGTCGTACCTTTTATGCGCGTTATCAAGTACGAGACCGGTAATCCTCCAATTTGCGGCTATTCTTCAGCTCCTCCTTGGCAAGTTGAAGCTGATCACAAGTGCGTATGACGGTTGGCGTGAAATATTCCAAATCCTGGTCCAAATATCTGCCTGGATGCGTTTTAGCAGGTCTTTATGCGGCTCCGAAGGTCCAAATGTTTCGTCGTTAATGCGTAGTTATTTAATAAAGCGCCAGTTTTCTTGTACAACGTATATTATGTAGAAATTACAAAAAATAAAATATATCAGACGAAAAATTGCTTGTTAACGTTGAGCGTACAAAAATTTGAATTTTTTTGCGTAGAGAGAGGTATAGGGGGGGGGGGGGTTCATCACGTGGGTCACAGCTGCTCTTACTGGTAGAAAGATGATGCGACGTTCCGGTGCAGGCAGAATTTCTTATCGTCTTGCCTGAACACCATTACATTTCTTTATTTCATTTTGCCTATAACTATTCTTGGCCGTATTTATCGCTTTATTTACTTTATTTCGATATTTTGTATATTGTAGTCTTTTATTCATACTATTAGGAGACCCTTTCCACGTTCGGAATAGGGTATCTCGTTTAACAAGCATATAATATAATTCTTTAGTTACCCATGGTTGCGTTACTCTTTTCCGTTTAATTATGATTTCCTTACTACATTCTTCGTAAATACTATTAAACACAAGGCATATATTTTGATATAAAATAAGAGGACATGAAATCAGTAACAACTTTGACCAATCATACGCACTCAATTTATGCGACACCATATTTTCATTAAGAACATTCTTATGCATATAAACACTACTTTGCGATTGTTGCCACTGAGAAATACTAAAGGAAATACCTGTGGCGTAATGATCCGATATGTTACACTCAAGTACGTAAGCCGCATCCTCGGCAGCCAGTGTTGCGTCGTTGGAGTTCGGTTGAGGCTGTCTCCTTCTCACCCAGACGTGGTCGATGCACGATGCTACTAACCGCCCGTCAACGATTTCCTCTCTCGTTATCTCAGTGCTAGGTATCGCACACTGCAAGCCCAACCCTGTCAATGTTGTTTTGTATAAGTCCGTTATAGAATTGCTTCGATGTTTATACATATCGATGTTTATATCGCCAATTACTATAAGATCTTCTGTCATAGGTATACTCTGTATCAATACGCTCAGCTGCTGTATGAAGTTTTCTTTACTTTTTCTGGGCGGTCTGTATACGGCTATAATATTTATGCTATTATGACTATTTGGTAATAATATTTTTCCGGATATACACTCTGCTACTGTAAATTTTAACTTTTTAAATTCTATGTTTAATCTTCCCCTTGCATAAATTATGACTCCGCCTCCTCTTTGACTTTCCCTTGTATAAGCAAACTTGCTATCAAACCCTGGTATCGGGTAAAAATCGACATCTTCCTGTTTAATGTTTATTTCTGTCAAAACAATAATATGTAAACACTTCATCATGTTATTTAGTAGAATCAGTAGTTCATTATAATGCTTTTTTAGTGACCTAATATTCAGATGGAATACATTAAAACCATTGTCATTTTTTTGCAATGAATAATTCAACTTGTTTATATCCATATATCTTGCATATTCGATATAACAATTGCTGTCATCGAATTTTAATTATATAGGTACTTAAGTTGATAGGCCAATGTATTTTAGAAAAGTTGAGCTACTTAGTTTTTAGTATTTCTACATCTTTTTCGCTTTTGATTTTATATATTTTCTTTTCATCAAATTTTCTTGCAAGTATATTGGAGTTTTGTATCCAAATGTATTTATATTTATTTTTCAATTCGTTTTTGGCATTCCAAAACAGCTGACGCTTATATTTAGGTAGGTCCTCGTAAATAAATATTTTATTTTCACTTTTATTATTGTATATTTGGTCATTCGTTATTACTGTTTTTCTTGCATCTATCCATTTATCTCGTGTTAATTTATTTCTGCACGTAATTACTATGGGTTGCATAGTTTTACCGTTTATTTCTTTTTCTTTACCTACCCTTTTTGCATCAGTTATGTCTTCAGCTTCCAAATTCAATGTTATAGATAATTTTTTTACTATATCCACTATTTCCTCATCTTTTTCTTTTTCTAATCCTACTATTTCCACATTTTTGTCCTTCTCCTTTTGTTCTAACTCCAATATTCTTTCTTCTAAGGCCTGATTTTGCTTTTCCAAGAAAACATTTTTTTGCTCCAATGCTTTAAATTTCTTCTCCGTGGTTTCTTTAAAATCTATCACCATTTGATACTGCTCTGCATAGAATTCTACCGTATCTTGAAGATCTTCAAACCGTTTTTCAATTTTGTATATAATATCTAACTTTTTATTTACTTGTTGCAACAAAGTCTCAACCGACAACTCGCTTGGATCGATATCTATTTTCGCTTGATGTTTAGTACCTGAGGTATTTCCAGTGGAATCCTTTTTTTGGCAATCCTCACACATTCCTGTCTGCGTAAATAGCCTATAGTTGTTAGCACATTTTTTATGCAGTACTGCTTCACAGGGTCCTTTACACCGTACTATGTCATCCTTTGTCATGGAGACGAAGAGTTTACACTTCTTACATTGCACCATCTTTTGTTTGTGTTCGTATCTCGTATTTAGACTGATAAAATTAGGCACTGCATCCAGTAACACACAATACACATCCGTACGCTAAGCGCAACAGCGGCGGAATGAATGAATTAATGAATCTATACAAGTTAAATCAAAACATGCTAGTCTTAGATTTTACACTGGGTTTCAAGAAACCACATTATAACGTCATATTAAAACGTCAATAAATAAAATAAAGTTTCGTGCATTAACCACATTAGTTGAGGATTAGATAATTCAATGTTAATGAAGTTGATTATTTCTATAATATGGAAGCATTGTATTGGAAAATGTTTTAGGGTGTTTATCGACGGCAAAGTGTCCATATCCCCGAGAATGCTAAATGTCTCCAAGAAGCCAAAGTTTGCATTATGGACAACGAACAATGCGCCAAGAAATGGGCGCAGCGGTTCAGGAATATTATCACACAGTACATGATTTGTACTAAGGACGTCATGAAGAAACTCAGTGAGATATGTGACGTAAGTACTCGAAACAAAAAACCAATACCATTGATTTCTTTTATTTGATAATAGGTACCTACTTACAGACGAAAACCTCTCTTATATTCAATTGAAAATTTAGCACTTTTGTTAAGATGAAAAAGTAATGTGGTATCTAGTTCACGATCAAAAATATATTGCCAGTAAGTGCTTACGTTTAATACTTATCTAAAGTGCTGTATAACTTGCGAAGTTGAAGATTTTCTAAATAATTATTCTCATTTAGGAAATATCAAACTTTTTGTTGTAATACGAGTACATCGAAAATTCTCATTTTTACAGAAAAAATATGCAAACTGTACTGACGTAGAAAGTCGTAGGCAGATCGAGGGTCCTGTTGATTCATCGAATAAGATATTCAATGTAGACTTGGGCAGACATCTGAGGGATCCCGATGACTACACTGCGAGACGGGCCATGGTACAAGGAGGATTTTGCGAGGTCAGACCTAAGTTAATTCATATTTACATTATAATGTTTGAAAATTATGCATACTACAATAACAAATTATTGCTAAAGTTAAAAAAAAGGGAATTATGAATAAAGTACTTTATTTCAAACTAGCGACCGCCCGCGAATTCGTACGCGTGGAGTTAGTACGAAATAAAGGTTCACTGCTCGTTCCCCGTGACAGCGTGATAATATGTTACCTATATGTTGACTCTTAATAATATTCGTGCCAAATTTTAAGTAAATCCATGCAGTACTTTTTGAGTTTATCCCGGACATACATAAAGTCAAACAGACAAACATTCTAAAAACTATATTTTTTGGTATGGTATCGACCCCCAGTATTCTTTTAAAAATATATTCAAAGTACAGTTTTGACTTTCCTACTATTTTCTTATATTTATAGATAAAGAAATTAGTGTTATTAGAAAAAAAAAACAGTATGTTAATTTAACCGTCGAAAGAACGTCAAAATTTATTTTGAAGAAAAGGTAGTCTTATTTTATGATATGTTTATCTATAATGTTTGTAGGTCCCACGATGTAAGAGAAAACTTGGTTTCAACAATTGAAAGCACTGACTTTCTAACAAATGTATGTAAATGTAGTAGATGAATGTGTAAATATCGAGTTTTCATCTTGTGATGTATTACAGAATGACCACGGTGGTCCTCTAATAGTGAAGTACCAAGGGAAAGAGAGAGTGGTTGGTGTGATCTCGGCGTGCAAGATCGACCCCAAGAGTCACAGTTGCCACGGTCCTTTCCTCTACACATCAGTCTTCAAGAACAGACAGTTTATATCTTGCGCCATTCACAAAGATGTCGAGTAAGAAGCTAAACTCTTACCCCCTTATTAATGCTTTACGGGGTTATGTGTCTCAATAAACAGTTTGTTTATGTTTCTTGCCCAGCATTTAGTTATTAATATAGCACAGATTATTATCTAATAAAACTACACAGTAGAAAACGACACCACACAACTTAACTTTAAATAAAAGCGTCCTTATTCAAAAAGTATGGAATTAACATAAATAGATAAAAGAAATTTTAGTTTTAAGAAAAAGAAAACAAGAATACAATATTGTAAAGAATTACAATGAATTTGTTTACAGCCTACAATTTAATCGTTTGTCACAAACAATCACTAAAAAGCCGCGCGCCATTAACGAGAGCATCATTACATATAAACAATACAAACTCTATTGTGGCGGGTTTTGAGGAATTCAAAGGGTTAATAAACAAGGAATAAGCTTAGAATAGTTACGCCGTGTTTTGTTCATGTCACTCAAATGCCATTTGTCATTCAATAGACAGAGCCAAAACAAGGAGTGACTAATCCAAGCGTAGCCTTCGTTTATTAATAAGAGGGCTAAAGCTTTAACGACTGCACTCAGGAACGGTTTAATTCTTTTTTTTCTTTTCTTTCTTCTCTCTTTAATGCTTCAATAAGTCTTCTAAGGCATTATCAACTTTAATTAAACTTTAAAGCTGATTGACGCCTCTGAGCACTGCATTTAGGAAAATTTGAGCAGATTGCTGAAATTTGATTATTTGTATTTCAGAGAGAATTGTCGGAGAGTGTTCCGTACTGGTATCACACACGAAGAATGGTCGGTCAACTGGGACAATGTGAAGGAGTAAGCAAACCATAAATTGGTTTAAATTCTTTATTAACTCATAACAAATATTGATCAACAAAAAAATACTTGTTACAGCGAAGAAGATGACATTAAACCGGAAGGGTATGGTCCAGTTCAATTTGGTGTTAGGGCGCAGTAACACCTGGTCGTTAACCCGAATACTATTGCCTCTGGAATACGGTCAAATGACTAAGTATAATGAATGAAAGTTGAGTACGCCCGTATTAGTTTTAGTTCCCCCCAATCTGGCATCACTGGGGTACGTTCCAACTAGAACGCGGTAGCAGGGTCGTTTGCCCGAGTTCCATTACCCAAACGTAAGTAAAACAATGTTATTATTGCGTCGTGTGCACTAAATCGAGTAGTGTCTCTAGTGCACCCGCATACCGGCTAACGACCAAGTGAAATTGCGTCTTTAAGAATATTATCAGAAAACTGCTATAGGTAAATACATAAAAAGACAATACGTACCTACTCACTAATATTTATTATTTTATAGCAGTAATAAAGACGACAAGGACTCCGAAAGGTAACATTTATGATTAAATATAAATTCTATGTAAAGGCTTGCCTGCGAGTTATTTATTGATAATGGTGTATTTACTTTTTTCAGCGACAACGAAAGCTCCAACAAAGAAGTTCAAAGAGTACGGTAAGTCAATTTCTTAGTACTAATTTGTTAAAGTATAAATTTATTCGAAATCATATTTCTCTTGTAATTTTCACTCCAGAAAACCCAAAAAAGTAGAAAAGAAAGAAGAATCTGATAGTTCCGACAGCAGCGACAGTAAAAGTGAAGAAGTAAAGAAACAAAAGAAGGAAAAGGGGGAACGAGAAGAAAAAGAAGAAAAAGTTGAAAAAGAGGACAAGAAACACGGGAAAAGGAAGCAGTCTAGCAAGCACGGAAAGAGTAAGAAAAAGCATTCCAGTGCGAGTTCTTCTAAAAAAGCAGAAGTTAAAGGGGATGAAAAGAAAGCTAGCGAAGAGATTCACCTCCGCGGACAGCAAAAGCGCGAAGTATTCTACGAGTCCAGTCGCGATGAAAACGTCAATGATCCTGATGATGAATAAATAAAATTCAATTTATGAGCATTGTCATTTCAAATTTTCAAACCTAAGAGTAACAGAGAGTGCTAGCCAAATTTCCTTAACCTCTTTAAAGACTTTAGTAACTTTTAATATAGTACAGCAAACTTTTTAAACAAAAATCTTATCGCAGATAAATAAGTACCTTATGGGTACTTGTAAAATCTTGTTAATTGCCTAAATTGATTAACTGTACTCACGAAACAAAAATTCAAAATCCTTTTTTATTACTTACGTGATGTGTCCTTTTCATTAGATTGGTGAGCAATACAATCAATCAACTACATCACTCTTTTTAATGTTGTTTTGACTCAAATTAGTAGAAAAAATCTACCAAAATAGTTTAGTAAGTAATATATTATAGATATACGTAATTACACTAGGAACATAATTAGGTCCTTTAATTTTAATCAATGCAATTCTTTGCCACTGTCAATTCTGTTTTAAATTGCATCATCTTCATTTCGAGTAATACGGACCATTAATAACGTGCCTAATTTTAAATTATTTCATCTGGGGGTCTTATCGCACTAGGTACTCTAATCGTGGTATGCTCTGTCGTACTATTACGAATAAGGTTGTCACATCAATGTGATATAATTATGATACCGACTCTATTAAAACTATTACTCTATAGTACAATAGTAATAGTATTTTAGATAAATAACACAAAAATGATTATATATGTTCACACACAAACGCATTTAATTATTCCAAAGTTTCTATTATAAATTTAATTAACATGCAACCCAAGAAGACCTTCTCCTCGCAGTCACACGATGGGTTTGAGTAAAAGCTCAAGACGGTAAGGTATCCGCCTGCATTCGCTTTTTGTCGTGGCAAATCATCTTTGTCGGGCGTCCAATCGGCAATATCAACTTTGCCCTATTCGGAAAAAATAAATATAATGTATGGAAACTTGAACAGCAGCATCACAAAGTACGTAACGAGACCTAAAAATCAGTACACATTTAACGATGACATTTCGTACTCGCAAACGTTACGAATTCGATATTGGTTCGTGCTAAGGCTGGGGCGACATATTTTGTACCTAACATCAATGATTATAATGAACTCACCACGCAATACAAACTCATATCGATTTTGTGAAAAACTTAACATCAAATAGTAATAAACCACGCAAGGTATGGAAAAATAAATAATTTTTGACAGTTTGCTGGTTAAACTGATATAAGATTGCGTGTCGAATGGTAGGTAAATGCTCAATGGTTAGTGTGTTTGGTCTTTGATCGTTGAAGTTAAGCTTTGGCAATGGTCGGTCATTGGATGGGTTACCAAAACTTATTATCTCATGCTCCTCCGTGCTTCTGAAGGCGCGTTAAGCCTTTGGTACCGGCTGCATCTGTAGCGGTTAGCACCCACCAATCCGCACTGGGCCCGCTTGGTGGGTCTGGGCCCATTCTCCATATGCCATCCAATGCCTGTTCGCCATGATGATAGGTAAATAATAAATACTCACAGGGCCTATAGGACATTCAGGTAGGCTTAATGGGTACATGTACTTGTTGTATTTGCTTTTCTCACTTTTTGATAATTCATCGCAGAAATTGCAGATGTCGTGAGTGAACAAAATATCGGTGCGGGAGCCAAGTGTCTTTTCCACTTTAATTTCTACCTGCAAAATGAATTGTATGTTATTTTGATGTTGTAAGAAGACGGAGCGAAATTCACATTGATTTCATTTACTGAATGCCTAAATAAGTTATGTTAGTTTGAGTTAAGAGGATATCAGGCTGGCGTTTTTGCACCCTGCAATGTTTCCTGGAATGTTACCCTCGTCATCAAGATTCGAATTCGAAGCAAAGAGTGTGCCTAAAAGATTAATTTTCTCTTTTGTGTTGTGTGGGCTAAACTTTGTAGTCACAAAGAACACAAAACGTAAAAACTGCTGTCATCCTCACAATCATCAGCCTATTAATGTCGCCGCTGCTGGGGCAGATACCTTCGCTAAGGATGCAATAGGGAGATGGGGATATAGTCCACTGCTGAGTAGCGAGTGCTAACGAGTGCAGATGCAACCGGTACCAACGGCAAATCAGGCTTCCATCTCCCAACCAGACCATACCTTCCGCACGAAGCTCGGAGGACCTCGAGGTTAGGTATGAATTTTGTTCACCCATCCGATGACCGGCCGTTGCGAAAGTTGCTTAACTTCCACTCTGACAAATTACGCCATTATCGGCCCACTTAGTGTTATAAGGTTCAACGACGGTTATGGTTGAGCATAATATTAAAAACACACGAAAAGATGTTTAATAAATCAGCTTCAATAAATTATTGTTCAATGTAACATTTATTTTTAGGTGGGGACCGTAAAAACTTAAAATGCTCGGTGGGCCGATAAATGTGTCCGGAAGTGTATACTCACAGATACGCATTCCTGTATTTCTTTCAGTATCTCAAAATATCCACGCATGAAGGACGAGGTCTCGTTGTACCTGTGGACTTCTACTTCGGAAGTGTCGAACAAACTGAGACTATCCTCATCTTGGCAAACACGCACCGGACCATCGAAGTTCAAAGTGATGATTTCCTCCTCCTGGAACATTAAATTGACCCCCCCTCTGCCGTTTATCTATACCAAGTTGTATTTCTATCGAAGGAAAGAATACCTATATTTTTAACATTGTGATATATGGATAAGTATTCATATTAGTATATCAGTCTAACTACTTTACTGTGCTAGTTTAAGTAGAAAATCTGGCTTCCATACTAGAAGGAATGGACAACTTGGTAATTGGTATGGATAAACGCAACTGGCGAATTAATCTTCAGTCCCTACCTACCTGCCCCCAAATAGGTACCAACCACGATGTACCAAATCTTACAAACATTTGTCATTCATAGCCTTTCACTATTATTATGTTACTTAAATTATACAAACAAGTATTCTCTAATCAATAAAATCCAGCTCTAGTAGAGACCAACACAGCTCCGATGATATCACGGATCTTGCGGCTTGGGCACTCTTTCTGATTTATTGCCCTATCTTCACACTGTCATTTTCTCAGGATCTAATCGCCTACGGCATGATTTTCAAACTTCTCAAATTTTCTCAAAATAAATTCTTTCACTTTTAACAACTCACCTACGGCAAGTTTTTTAAAGTGAAAGAAATGACATTCTTCTTATTAAAAAAATATCGGGTGCAGTTGTGAATGTCTTTTGAATAGAAGCTACTAGAGGGTTCAGGTAAAGTTTCTCATGACGTAAAAATATTAATATGCCGGTTTGCATGGTGTGGGGGTGGCCGTACAAGGGTGTAAAATATAGGAAAAAAAATATTCGAGTACGTCAGACATTGATAAGGGATGAACCCTTCAGTACCTCCTATTCTAAATACTAACGATTTAGAGGCGATCAAAAGTCATGGCTGTTTGTTGAATTTTTTTTTGTTGTGTTAGTCGTTAAGCCCAAATAAAGGGCTCAGGTATGATGGGACTCTTAAAAGTGCAAGGTTGCCCTCTTTAATTTATCCTGCCACGCTCGGGTAAATACCAAAATCACCACTTAAGACTCCTACTACAAAGATTTCTTTTTCAGATAATACGGCCGCAATCAATCTCTGCATCCGCCCGGATAGTGGAAGGTGCAGGCATCTCAAATTTCTTTCCTGATCTTCACATTGTCACTCTCTCAGTGCCTAACCGCCACAGGCATGATATTCAAAAGTGAAATAAATGGCGTTCTTCTTATTCAAAATAATTCTCTCACAATGCATCCATCGGGTTCAGTTGTGAATCGAAACCATTCGAAGAATCACTGGTACAGAACGGTCCCTCAACTGAAACTAATTTTTGGAACTTGTTTTTGACTTTTTAGTATTATGGCTCCAGTACCTATTCAGAAGACTAACGATTTAGACGCGACCAAGTCATGGCCATTTGTTGATTTTTTTGCTGCCCCTAGACGTGTGAACCCTTGGAAATACTTCACAAGGAGCAGGGTTCTCCCTAGTACTACGTACTTATTGTGATTTTTAATTAATATAATAATATTTTACCTGAGGTGGTAGCCCCTGGGACATAGATAACCCCACAAAACAGAACAAATAGAATATGTTCCACATGTTAGATCACTTTAGCGTTGAATAAATTGTAGTTTAACGATACAATGAAACGGCCGTTATATATATTTTCCACTATTAAGAATTCGCGTGTGCAATCTGATTAAACGCTTGTCACAGGATACACAAGTGTTTAGTGGTATGTTTGATGTGATACAAAGTATTAAAATAATTATGTTTAATTAGGTTTGTGTATAAAATACCACTTATTGCAAAAAAATATAGAGACAAAATCTATAATACCTTGTACATAATGTTATTATCATAAACGAAACACATCATCCACCATCAAGTTAGTTAGGCGTCATCCATAAAGTATGTCACACGTTAAGGGGGTCGACGTAGTGTGATTTTTTGTGACAAGGGGTGGGAGGGGTCTTAAGTTTCATGACGTCACATTTCAAAATCTACTAATCTACTTTTGAACTATAATCAAAAATCTTTAAAATATTTAGAACTCTATTTGTATGGGTTTTAACATAGATAAATGATTGGTCTCGCTAAGTGTAGCGACACCAATCATTTATCTATGGGTTTGAATTTGGTTTGTTGTCTAATTTTCGGAACTGCAGCTTTAATATAACAATTTCTAGATGCAAAATAGCAAAATACGTGACGTCGCACTAGGGACTTACAAATGTGACCAACTGTAAAAACTTACGTACTATAAGGATGACTGAGCAAAGATGCTGCAATAAAAAAAACTGGCTGCGCTATTAAAAAGGAAATTTAAAAAAGACTAAAATTTAGTGTGAGAAGACTATCAACTCAAAGTTTTGTTTGTTATTCGGAAAAGGGTAGGATAGCACTATACGATAATTGAGTACTGCAAGGCCCCCCCTAATTAGTCCTATCAGAGGCAGCAGCGTGATAAGCTAAGAGATACTTCGGTATGTAATGCATTTATATAATATATATACATATATGTTATGTGTTCTTACAAATGTCAATGTCAACTAGTACCTAATACAGTACAAAATTCGGATTGGCCACGCCGGTCAGCAGCACCTCTGTTGTGCATGTTCCCTAATCTAAAAAATTAAAAATTTCCAGGACTTTATTGCCCCGAGTGACTACCTAAGGTAAATATGCGCTGACCCGTCATATGCAAGGAACCCTGTAGTCTTCCTTGATTGGCCAACATGATACCACACCCGTTACCAGCCAGCATAACTTCACACTCCACTCAAGTATTACGTAAGCAGATTACAATTATCCCCCCCTCCTCCCTTGTCAGAAAAAGTAAGCAAAGCTCTTATCATCCCTCCCATGCTTACGTTAACATTGGTACTAAAATAGGCTTAGGATAGAGGACTTTAACGCACATAATATTCATTTAAACAAACTTTATTGGCACTGTATTCAACATAGGGCATAAAAATTATAATCTTATTAAGTACTATTACGAACAAAACAAACGTCTAAATAAAATATAACTAGAAAACAGGCAGCAGACGCGACTCGAACCCGCAATGCACTGACCAATTATGCTACCGCGGCTCTGATGGCCGCGTCGAAATTCTTCTAGCCATTCTTAAGCTGCAAGGCAGCGCCATCTCTTCGCATTGTAGGTAACCCACAATGTTATCATTTGAAACATTACCTGCTGCTATAGGATTAGGGTACTAATTTATAATAATATTTTTTCTTAGAAATCCAAAATTATTACTCTAATCACTAATCCTATAGCAGCACTAGGCCACTTAGTAAAAGGCCGAACTAACAAAAGATCTACTGAGACTGAAAAGTCACACCAGTTTGGTCGACCCGACTAAACTAATAACCGTATTACTGATACTAGGGCCTAGTATCAATAATTTTTCAAACAGTGGAGGAGAAAGTGGTTGCTACAGCAATAGGAATGACGACAGCTTCTTTCTTCGAAGTATAGGACACATATTTTTTTCATATATTCAAAACATTACAGGGATATATTGATTTGAAATGTGGCATGGCGTCCCTTCTTGGTACATTATTTACCTAGAAGTGAGAGTACGAGTCCCCAATCCCAAACATTGACACGCTTTATCTTTGTAACTTTTTGGTCGATTGACAAAAGAAAACCTAGGTTTTAGATAATCTGACTTGCGGACTGAATAGAATTTCGTTTAGTTTACCCCGTCATCATCCCTTTTGAAGGAACGCCCTCCGGGCAGCTGGATTTGGCGATTCACAATTGTTTTGTCAGAAATCACCCTTTTTTTTTTATTTAATTGGTGCACATCATCAAGTTATGTTTCCTTTATTGTTACAGAATGGTCTCGTTTTAATGAAACACGAATGCTCTAAAAAAATAGAATTTAATTTGACCCTCAACCTCTAAACGGCGATAATGTAAGTACAATGACAACATGAATGTTTCAAGAATAACTAGGAGATCTATGTATTAAAAGTTACAATTTAGATACTACACCAAAAGTGTAAATAAAATAAAAAATAGAACAAAAAAATGAAAATCATAAGTGTTCAATAAATTTATTAAAAAAAATATAAAACCAAAAACTCTCATAGACGCTTGCTATCCCAACGTTAAAGATTACAATATAACTAGCAAATAGTTGTTTTAACAAGTTTATATAAATAAAACGTTATACATCGGTAGTGCATAAATCACGAATTTTAATTAACAACATTTAAACAGAAACACTTTTGTGTTCCCCAGTACTCTACTACAGCTACTTTTAGACAAAAATGCTTAATATACTTTTCTCATTATCAAGCTATTTATATAATGCTGCCAGAGATATAACAAAGATTTCGAAAAATACTTCAATACGAATAGTTCAATCTATATAAAATACATTTTTTAATCTAAGACGCAAATGTAGTATGTAAACATTTGCTACATAAATCTATAATAGACAATTTATATTTTCTTAAAAATTTAATAATTTTATTATTATTATATAACTCTTGAAGTCTTTAAAAATTAAACATAACCTAATACTGAAAAAAGTAACTCTGAAATAGCAAACAGTTTTAAATCATTTATACCAACTTTCATAAACATAGATGTGTGTTAAAAATAGATGCAACTTTAAAAAATCTTTATCTTTCAAATACGCAGCCAATCAAGGATAATCATAATTACTTGTAATAAGAAGTTGGCACAAACCACACGTGATCGTGAGAACAGAGGCCCAAACTTCTAACTGTTCTTTTTTATTAAATAAATATTCTTAACACTAATCAAATCCTTTAAAAACTAATATCTAGAGTTTGGGACTCCGTTAAGCACCTTAATTTATAAAAAAATATATTACTTTATGTGTTCAATCTAAAAATATAGTAAAATATATAGCTTCTTTTCGTAAATTATGGAAGAACGCTTAAAACGTATAACGAATAGAGAATCAAGTAAATAACTAGCTAGACATTACATGCTAACTTTAGACTAGAGAAACTAAAGATCATACATATTATTCGTTTAAGTTTCCTTCTATAACACCTCCATCAGAAACCAAGCGCCGGCCAACGAACTCAATAACTAAAACCAAGACAAGTGCAGTTCATTGGCTGTAGGTATACAGCATTTTTATCGAAAAAAATTGCCTTGAAAATTCTGATCGTGAATGGTCAATTATTTTTTTATGATTTACCATCACCAAAGTAGTGACTCCTTCGACAACAGGCAAAGACAAAATATGGATTTTTCAACTGTTTATAAATGGTAACTTTTTGACAATTTAGAATTTCTACTGAAATTGTTTATGCGTTATTTAAACCTTTGCCATTGTCCGAAATTAATGCTGTATATCTCGATGTTACTGAACTGCAGCGGAGCGAACAACCGTTCGAATAATAAAACTAAAATCGAGCCTTAGCTTCATTCTGGTTACGCCATCAGATTCAAACCCAAACGAGAATATGATCCGAGTAAAAATTAACCTTGGGACATTCACTATAGAATTGTACTTCTGCTCATGCCAGGTCGTCCCTAGGTATTAAATTGCGTAGCTAAATACATACAATTATTCATGACAATGCAGATCCGATCACTTAACTTTAGGTGACTCGCTTGTCACAGTTAACAATACAAATACAATTAAGAATCATTTTCGCTGGGCAACAACGTGTGTTAAATATGGTAAATAAAATGCGGCGCGCGTTTAGTTAGTGGGCCGACGCAAAGGAAAATCAACTTTAAAGCTAAAAATTAGTATCGGAATGAGACAAAATTGCCGTCCCTCCATGTGCAACTAAGCGAACAACGTTTATTATGCGTGTTTTAGAAATAATACGATACACTCCTAGTGAAACGTCGAACGCGTCTACCGTTTCGGCTTTAAGGAGTTAATGTACTGCGGCAGCCTGGAAAAGAGATAATGTTTTCTAAATAAACGGAATTATTAAATTTTTGCATTTTGTATGAAACTGCGTCGATTTTGTACGCCCGGCACTCCCCACCTCTAAATTTAATAAGTGCGGGTTATATCAATTCTCGGACAAAGTTATGTAACAAATAATTGCCAAATAAAAAAATATCATTCGCAACATTCAAAATAATAAAGAAATGACAAGTCAAAATAACAACATAATTTGCCCGAATAATAACAAAATTATGGAACAAATAAAGATTGCCCAGTATAAAAAATTTAATTCGCAATATTAAAAATAATATATAAATGACAAAACAAAACAACAATATAATTTTGTCCTTACAATACGATGTCAGATCCTCTACCCTTAGCACGAACCAATATCGAATTCAAATAGTTCAATTCGATTCCGATACGCGTCAAATGTCAGGAAGTTTTGTATGGAAAATAATTAATTCTCCTTACGTCCGTTGTGGCGCTGTTCAAATTTCCATACAAAACTTCTTAAAATTTGAAGCGTATCGAGATCGAGTCCAACTATTCAAATTTGATATTGGTTCGTGCTAAGGGTACAGACCTATTTAATACTCACCAGAGGCTGTGCAGGGGCAGGCTTCATGGCTTCAAGAGGTTCCTCAGACAAGAGGCGGGCCTTATCGTCGGCCGATTCTTCGCCGGCTGCCCTCGCATTCTAACAGAAAGACAACTAAGTAATCTTCACCAATAGATGTGTCCTACGGCGAATTGTAAGCACCAAAGGATGTTTTCTTAACGTCAGTTAAAAAATTGTTGAATTTGCCATCGTCGCTAGTTAGTGAGAATTTTGTTCGTACGAATGTGCTAACAAATGAACAGTCTAGGATTGGTGAGCCTACCTAACGTAGCTTTGCTGCAAATGGTGCAACCATTAGATGTTTTAATAAACAGCCTAATGACGTCACATAATTGTGAGACGCTATTTTGCTCAGTGAACGTTTCCATGGCATATTTGAATATAGAATTTTTAATTTGGCTTTTTATTTCTGAAAAACACAACAAAATGATCAACATCCACTTTTCGTTAAATCCATAAACACTAGTTTATAATGTAACAGTCAGCAGGCGGGGCTTATCGAAGGCAGATTCTGCCCCAGCCACCTAGAGACCACCTGGCGCGAGTATGAAATAGTTTTCACCGAGGGTTGGTGATCGTGCGGGTCCCGCTAGGGGCGGGACGGGGCGGATTCCACACTTAGCAGGCGGGGCTTATCGTCGGCGGATTCTGCCAGCCACCTAGAGACACCTGGCGCGGGTATCAAACAGTTCTCACCGAGGGTTAGTTGTCGTGCGGGGTCCGCTGGGGACGGAGCGGGGCGGGTTCCACAGTCAGCAGGTGGGGCTTATCGTCGGCGGATTCTGCCAGCCACCTAGAGACACCTGGCGCGGGTATCAAACAGTTCTCACCGAGGGTTAGTTGTCGTGCGGGGTCCGCTGGGGACGGAGCGGGGCGGGTTCCACAGTCAGCAGGTGGGGCTTATCGTCGGCGGATTCTGCCAGCCACCTAGAGACACCTGGCGCGGGTATGAAACAGTTCTCACCGAGGGTTAGTTGTCGTGCGGGGCCCGCTGGGGACGGGGCGGGGCGGGTTCCACAGTCAGCAGGTGGGGCTTATAGTCGGCGGATTCTACCAGCCACCTAGAGACACCTGGCGCGGGTATGAAACAGTTCTCACCGAGGGTTAGTTGTCGTGCGGGGTCCGCTGGGGACGGAGCGGGGCGGGTTCCACAGTCAGCAGGTGGGGCTTATCGTCGGCGGATTCTGCCAGCCACCTAGATACACCTGGCGCGGGTATGAAATAGTTCTCACCGAAGGGTTGGTTGTCGTGCGGGTCCCGCTGGGGACGGGCGGGGCGGGTTCCACAGTCAGCAGGCGGGGCTTATCGTCGGCAGATTCTTCGCCAGCCACCTAGACACACCTGCTGCGGGTATGAAATACTTCTCACCGAGGGTTGGTTGTCGTGCGGGTCCCGCTGGGGACAGGGCCGGGCGGGTTCCACAGTCAGCAGGCGGGGCTTATCGTCGGCAGATTCTTCGCCATCCACCTAGACACACCTGCTGCGGGTATGAAATACTTCTCACCGAGGGTTGGTTGTCGTGCGGGTCCCGCTGGGGACGGGGCGGGGCAGGTTCCACAGTCAGCAAGCGGGGCTTATCGTCGGCAGATTCTTCGCCAGCCACCCCCCCGCTACCGCCTAGGGACATCTGTGATAGGGCGGTAAGTACGCTGTCCATGCTGACGGCGGCTGGAGCGCTGTCGCCTTCGCCCTGGAAATTATGAATTTCATAATTGTACAGTAATAATATAAAGAGGTACTAACCGATGGGGTACCCAAGGATTTAGAAATAAATGGAATACGAACTGAGCTAAAAAGTTGTTCTACTCAAACTGGACTGAGCAGGGCTAAAAACTGCGATCATTATACCAATCATGGGATTGGCTGGGTTTTACGTTTAACATTATCTTATCTAATGTATGGATAGCCAAATTCATTCAGGGACAGCTGATATAACAGCATGAAGTACAGATGTATAAATATTATACTACATTGCAATAAATAAAAAATCATAAAATTTCCGTTATTTTCGAAATCATTAACATCTTAAGTTTCATCGTTAAGTTACTTTAAATAAAAAAAAACTTGTATTATGTAGTTATAATATTATTATGTTAAATTTGATAAATTGTTTTTATGTTATCAAGCATACCTTCTGCGGGCCAGACTTGAAGAAATGCAAGTAGCAGAAACCACGGAATCCCTGTAAACAGAAATGGGTTTTAGAAGTTTACACTGTTAGTAAGAACTTAGAATGACAAAATAATGCACGTAAAAGATACGAATGAATTTATTACCTTCCATGTCATGATCTGTGGTTTGACTCCGCGCTCAGACAACGCCTGTTTCAAATCGCGAACTCTGGTATTGGGACTGATGTTAGATATCTGAAAGAATTAATTATTATAGTAGAACTTCCCTAGATTTATAAAGAAATTTATAGATGATAGGATTCATGAATTAAATTTTGAATGAATGCAACACAAGATCACTGCAGTGATGGAAGATTATTTTTTTTTATTTCGTTAATATAAAGGCGATTACAGTGAAAGTAGGTTCGTGCGATTGGATAAGGACCTATACAGGGTGGCCGGGGAGTTGACGTTCAATCGCAAAATTTAGATACTTTATGATGAGGAATATCCAAATCACCCCCATGTATGTTCTACGATTTTGCGTAGTTTTCGAGTTATAATGTTTTTAATGATTTTATTCGTAATTTTCACCTAACATCAGTTTTCGATTTTTTTCTCATTCTGTTGGATGTTTCTGGTTCAGTTTTTTTGAGATAACTGACTAACATAGTCTAACCTAGCACCCTAAAACTTATGGTTTATCTAGGCATTGCAGAATTCACTTAGAATTTGTTCGAAAGTTCAAAATTACGATTTCAGCTCAGTACACACAAATTTACAAAGTATCAAAAAAAATGTAAATTGGAGTTCAAAGTGATTTTAGAAACTTCCTGAAACATTAAACTTTAAAAGAAGGCCAAATAAAGATTAATGGGGGTTTATTTTCTGACACTGATCTTCAAAGTAAATTAAGGCATTTTCAAAGGAAAAAAATAATTATTTTCTTTTATTTAAATCTTTGACTTTCTATGAGTTATGATGCATTTGAGTAAAACGCAGTTAATTGTTAACAAAATACATTTATTTAAAACAAATTTTCAAAATTTCGCCCTCCCACAGAAATACACAATCTACATCTGCGCAAAAAGTTATGTTTTAGTTGCCTAAAAGCTTCACGGTTATTTTTCACAGTGGTTTCAGCATCGCGAATTTTTGCTCTCAGTTCTTCTTCACTCGAAGCTTCTCTGGCGTACACAATTTCTTTAAAGTAGCCCCAAATAAAAAAATCAATAGGGTTGAGGTCAGGCGAGCGTGGTGGCCAGGCAATTGGCCCTCGTCGTCCGATCCACCTGTTGTGATAGGTCTGGTCTAAATGGCGACGCACTTGTGGCGCCCCGTCGTTCTGGAACACCATCGTTCTCTTATGAACATCTTAATGAACACACGATAGTCAGGGTAATGATCAGGTTGCGCTCCGCCTCGGCGTTGAAGTTGATCCCTGTAGAGTCTTGCTGCTTCACCACCGTTGCCTTGTGCAACGCCGTAGAAATAATGCATTTCTGCATATTCACTCAGAGTGTAGGGCATCACTAACACTTCCAAGTAACTACAGTCCAAATCGTTAGGCACAACGGAATCCAGCAACAAGCAGGGGTCAAACAAGTAAGCGGCGGCAGTATCAGTAGGCAAATAGTGGTCGAGAAAAAACGGCAGAATAAGACGAGTAGTAGCAAACACAGGGTGAGTACGACTGAGGGACGGAACGCAGGTGTACTCATTGTTAGCGTCAACGTCTTACTCAACTCTGTTTCTAATGTTACTGTACTACTCTAACCCACAGACACAAACTAGAGAGAGTGACATAGCAACATTTTTTTACCTGAACCTTTTTTTCGTGGTTAAAATCTCAACAATGAAATCATAGCTGTTTCTAATTAAATGTATCCATCTAGAAACTCGAAGAATTAGAATTTAGGTCATTAACAACTGTATTTTACTCAAATCCATCATTACTGAGAGAAAGGCAAAGATTTAAATAAAAGAAAATAATTATTTTTTTCCTTGAAAAATGCCTTAATTTAATTTGAAGGTCAATTACAGAAAATAAACCCCCTTAACCCTATCTTTAGTTGGCCTTGTTTTAAAGTTTAATGTTTCAGGAAGTTTCTAAAAGCACTTTGAACTCCAAATCCCCCCATTTACATTTTTTTGATACTTTGAAAGTTTGTGTGTACTGAGCTGAAATCGTAATTTTGAACTTTCGAACAAATTCTAATCGAATTCTGCAATGCCTAGATAAACCATAATTTTTAGGGTGCTAGGTTAGACTATGTTAGTCGGTTATCTTAAAAAAACTGAACCAGAAACATCCAACAGAATGAGAAAAAAATCGAAAACTGATGTTAGGTGAAAATTACAAAAAAAAAAATCATTAAAAACATTATAACTCGAAAACTACGCAAAATCGTAGAACATACATGGGGGTGATTTGGATACTCCTCATCATAAAGTATCTATATTTTGCGCTTGAACGTCAACTCCCCGGCCACCCTGTATAGTGCCAGTGAGTGGAGTTATGTTGCGTGTTCACAATTAAATTGTCTGGTGAATAAAGAACTGTACCCTTAGCACGAACCATATCGAATCCGAATAGTTTGCGAGTGCGAAATATAATTGTCAAATTTTGTATGGAACCTTGAACAGCAGCGCCACAACGGTATCGTAACGAGATCTAAAAATCAGTACATATTTAGCAATGACATTTTGCACTTGCAAACTATTCTTATACCTCTATGATCCCGACAAGTAACAACAGTTCACCTTGACAGAGAAGTCGATGACGGGCCTCTGTCGTTTGGGGCGGCGTGGTCGTTGTTCGGTTTCCTTGCCCTCCTTGCCTTCCTTGCCGGTCGACTTCTGGCTATTGCGGCGACGCGTAGCGCGACGCGGTTTGCCCGTGGACTTGCCGTCTTCGCCTTCAGTAGTATTGCCCTAGAAAAAAAATATACCTAGTCAGGTCATAAATTGTGTCACATGTTTAATATAAAATAATTGAAACAAGTTTATTCATTATGTAACCATTGATATATCAAAATGAACTTAAAAAAAAGATTCTTATGACAATAAAGTTTATTCGAAATGACCTCCGTGATTTTGAATACAGGCCTTCAATCTGAGCGGCCAGTCGTCTATCGCAGCACGAACGAGGTCCATGTCAATATCGGCGGCTGCTTTAATCAAGTCAATCAATGTCTTGAGTGACTCCAAATTGGGATGAGGCTTTGAGCACGCCTTTTCCTCCAAGTGTTGCCATATCTTGTAATCTAACGGACTCAAATTTAGACTGGAGGAGGGCCAGTCTTCGTGCCGGATGAAGTTGATTTCACGCGCCACCAGCCAGTCTTGTGTTTTCTTTGCTCTATGAGCTGGCGCCGAATCTTGTTGGAATACCCAGTGCCTGTTATTGAACAAGGTATGAGAAACAGGTTCCACAAGGTTCGTCAGGACTGTATTTTGATACACAACGGCATTCGTTTTTACACCTTTCTCACAAAAAATGTACCTCTGTTAAGCCCCAATAAGAAACTACCAACCACACCATGAGCGAGGATGGAAAATGACCTCGTTGGACACGCGGAATACGGTTCCTCGCTTCTTCACTACTGTGTGCGTACACTTTATCATTTTGTTTGTTGTAGCTCTCTTCTACGGTAAAAAATTTTTCATACGAAAAAAGAATTCTTGCTGACTGAAGACTGAAGAGATGCCGCGCTTTGTTGAAGGTACCGCTTCAACAAAGCGCGGCATCTCTTCAGTCTCGGGTCCATTAGACGAGCATTCAAACGATGTCCTGTTTTTCTTCGATATGCCCGAAGCCCTAAGTCTTCATTTAATACCCTTTTCACCGTGGTTCTGCTTAACCCTATCTGAAGGGCCAACAGTTTCTGCTTACGTTTGGGATTTCTTTGAATTCGCGCCATCACAGCTTTTATCACTGCTGGAGTCCTAACAGACCGAGGGCGACCACTTCTTCACCTGTCATCTACACGAGAGTCTTCATTGTATCGTTTGATGGTACGATAAACGAATCTTTTGGTAATATTCAAAATTTTCAGTATGTCAAAAATTTGAATTGGAGCGTAACCGCAACGATGCAACGCAATAACTGCAACGCGGTCTTCTTTAAGCGTCCACTCCTAGACCAGGGTCGATAATTTTAAAAATGGTGTAAAGTGAAAAAAAATATAGTAGGATGAAACCCATTAGAAAAGGGAGAGAATATAACAAATGTGAAAGGAAAAATAAATTACGGGCGATCTGAGGTCGGGAAGGGGGAGGGGGTGAGTTTTTAAGGGTAAAAAATGGTTAATCCCGATTTCCGGTAAAACTGCAAGTCCTATGAAAAAAAGTTAAATGGCAAAGTTGTAGGTAATAAAAAGATCTACAACTTTTGTATCGACATTTTTTTCACATAAACTCAAAATTTATGTGAAAAATGCGAATAACCGAGTTTTTGGTTTTTGATTTTTATTATTCGCAAAAAAAAAATATTTTTTCACGAAATTTGGTGAAAACTTACCTTTGTATGTCCCAAACATACAGTAATTTTTTTGATTTAAAATATTCATTTTTTCACCTTATTTTGACTTAATATCCAAAAAGCACCCTAATTTTCAATCGAAAATTCTCACGTCAAAATATCTGCTTTTTTTAAAAAGTTGGGGTGTTTTTTGTTTGTTGAAATCTCTACTTTCTTATGGTATAAAAAAAATATACACTACTATGATAAATGTTCTCAGAAAATGCAAATTAATAATGAAAAAAACTCGAATCCGGAAATCCTATTTTTAATACCTACTTACAACAACTATTTTTGCATGTTTTATGGATTTGTAATTTTTCTGTTTATCAATATAACATGAAATCTTACGTTTTTCGAGTAATTAAAGTGTAAATTTTAATAAATAGTTCAAAATTATACATAAGGATTCAAATCAATTTTTCGGATTGGAGTTTTTTTCATTATTAATTTGCAGTTTCTGAGAACATTTACCATAGTAGTGTATATTTTTTTATACCATCAGAAAGTAGAGATTTCAAAAAACACCCCAACTTTTTAAAAAAAGCAGATATTTTGACGTGAGAATTTTCGATTGAAAATTAGGGTGCTTTTTGGATATTAAGTCAAAATAAGGTGAAAAAATGAATATTTTAAATCAAAAAAATTACTGTATGTTTGGGACATACAAAGGTAAGTTTTCACCAAATTTCGTGAAAAAATATTTTTTTTTGCAAAAAATAAAAATCAAAAACCAAAAACTCGGTTATTCGCATTTTTCACATAAATTTTGAGGTTATGTGAAAAAAGTGTCGATACAAAAGTTGTAGATCTTTTTATTACCTACAACTTTGCCATTTAACTTTTTTTCATAGGACTTGCAGTTTTACCGGAAATCGAGATTAACCATTTTTTACCCTTAAAAACTCACCCCCTCCCCCTTCCCGACCTCAGATCGCCCGTAATTTATTTTTCCTTTCATTTTTGTTATATTCTCTACCTTTTCTAATGGGTTTCCAAACTATAATTATCCAACTATAATTTTTTATGGTCTCAAAAATTATCGACCCTGGTCTATCCATTATTAATTATGAGTAAAATTCTAAAAAAGTATACATTTTTATTTCCATGAACAATTCGAAAGTCGAATTCAATAAACTTTTTTGTGGCCAGCATTCTAAAAGAAAAGTTTTTACTGTGTGACAATACTTATGATGACTGTGTATAAGACTAAAAACGAACCCTGTCTGCGCACAGGGGAAATATAGTTTTAAGGCGTATTGACGCCTTATTTTTATTATTTCTGATGAAAGATTTTTCAGTCTGCTGGGTAGTATTTGAGTTTAATTGTTACAAACAAACAAATCTTTAATTTCATCATCTTTACAGCCAAAATCTACAAACACTCGTATATAGCTGCTTCAAAAGTACCCGATGAATACCTGTGAGGAATTTGTTTATTATTTGATCAAATTATAACTATACTGACCTCTCCCTCACTCTGGCTCTTGTGCGAGCGAGTGCGCCGCCTGATTCTGCGCGGCTTCTGCGTGGAGCGCTCCTCTACGTCAGTGTCCACTTCTTGCAACGTGCAGGCGCGGCCGGCCCTATTTTATAAGAGATATAAGGTAATGACGATCATGTAAGCATTCCCCAAAAAAATATATATATAAAAGTCTGGACTCTGGATGGTTTGAAGTCATGTTTGAAAACTGCGTAAACTTTTGTTAGCTAAACCCTCAATTAAAAATTAGAAAAGTTGAAACATACGGCGATACCAAATTATCCGTATACAATTTTGCTACCAACTTTAAATGAATAAAAATATATATTAACAATTGCGGTTTGTAGATACAAACAGATGCTGTAGTACTTCTTTCAAACAGAATTTGCATGGTAAATAAAATCCACCAACTAAGAACTGGCTTTTATCATGATACAATTGAATTTAACCTTCAGAATGTATTAAACAACTTTTGCACGAATTGAAATTTATTATTAAATAATTATTTGTTCATCAATTGATATTTAAAACTTTGAATGCGGTTGAATTTTGTAACTATTATTCAAATGATAATATAAAATATTTTGACCGGAATAAGAGTTCCATAAGTCATTTAGGAGGTCGCCTATAAACTCATCTATACATAAAATAAAATGGTAGGAAAGTCAACACTGTACGGTCGCGGTCAGAAAATGTTTACCAGTTTTAAAATTAGATTCTATATTACACCTTAGTTCACTAGTCTAAAATGCCCATATCAAGTAACTTGTTACCTTTCAAAATTTATTATACAAAATGACGAATGGAGAATAACAAAAAAAAATATATTACTTTTTGATATTAAAACTCATTTCCTTATTTGCTGAAATGACATTTACAAAAAAAATATCGTTTGAACATTGTTTGGGCAAGAGCAAATTTTACGAAAAAAAATTCATTACGAAATAAAATGGCAAGTTTGACCCTGGAGCCTGGCCTGAAATAATGTTTCTCTTCGAAGATGGACATAGTATTAGTGCTATATCACGAGAACTCAATATATCGCGATTCACTGTGACTGTGAGGTTTTGGATCGGGCGTCAGGGCGAAGAAGGACAATTAGAACTTGTGACCTAAAAAATGCACACAGCATGCAATAATGATCCTTAAGGTGGTAAATATTTTCTGACCGCAACCGTACATTGAATATTTTCTTAAAAGAATACTTGGGGTGTGATCTACAATCGATACCGAAGCCAAAAATATAGTTTTAAGGATTTTTGTCTGTTTGTCTGTATGTATGTCCGGGATAAACTCAAAAAGTACTGCTTGGATTTACTTAAAATTTGGCACGAATATTATTAAGAAGTCGGGTTAACAAATACGCTACATATTATCACGCTATCACCTACGGGGAACGAGCAGTGAACCTTTATTTCAAACTAACTCCACGCGTACGAAGTCGCGGGCGGCCGCTAGTTATTAATAAAAATAATGTTTATAATCTTACAGCATTTCGATCTCGCGCAGTTGTCCCAAGATGGGCATCAGTTGCAAGCGGCGGTTGGACAGCAAGTGCCACAGTATTCCCACCGGCCTCTGGCTCATACGCTGAGTCTCTATCACCTTTTAAATAATGATACACTTTCTTTCAGAATAAAATGTCCATATTGTCAATTTGTGAGTAACATTTAAAATAAACAGACACGAGGACTTTTGGCGGGATCGGGAATCGTCGTTTTATTTTTCTTGTTAAAAATTGTGTTGTGGCGGATGTTAGTGTCTAAAAATGGTGGATTATTAACCATTAAGTGTTCGGGAACATGCACAAGTGTTGGCAAGTGAAACAAAATAGCGGAAAGTGTCTTTCGACGTTCCCTCAAGCAGTCCATGGGGAGGTTCCAATAAATCCCCACACTTTTATTGAACATAGAGAAAGGGGGATTGATTTCACTGCCACCTACTTCGACTTGATATATTACTTTGAACACGAGTGCTTCAGTATTTGTAAACATTTTAACACTTGACTTTGGCTTAATTCACAAGCCGCGCGAATCCATTAAAAAAAACAGACAAAATAAAAAAGTAGCTTAAAGGACCCTTCACCTCATCATCATCATCATCAGTCTATTAATGTCCCCACTGCTGGGGCATAGGCCTTCCCTATGAATGGAATAAGGAGATTGGGCCATGAACCACCACGCGGGCCCAGTACGGATTGGTGGGTGCTAACGACTGCTGATGCACCCGGTACCAACGGCTTAACGTGCCTTCCGAAGCACGGAGGAGCTCGAGATAGAAATTTTTGGTCACCCATCCAATGACCAACCACAGGGAAAGTTGCTTAAGCTCAACGATCGCAGCCGAATGCGCTAACTACTTGCGCCATCGAGCTCCGTCACCTAGCTAGCCGCAAAGCACTGTAAAGTTATGGGCTGCTACGGTAACGGATATAATACATAATAGGTTGGGGGAAAAGTCTTCTCGCATTATAGTATGTATGAACTTGTAAAAAAATCTCTTTGGCCATATCCATTTGTATCTCGCTGAACATCACGAGAGGACCCCAATTTTTTATAGAAATGGGATCATTTCCCTACCTACAGGTGGCAAAAAGTAATGGAACAAAATGGCACCAATATACTTTAGTTAAATGTATATAAAATATATGAAAAAAGGATTTGAATTATCATATAAAATGCGAAGAAACTTTTTCCCCAACCTAATATATTTGATACATAAGTATATTTATATAGAAATAGATATAAACAACCTTGACTAAGGCACAAATGCTGGTATTCATCATATTTACATATGTCTCCACCGGGACTCGGAACCCGGCGTATATACAACTCGGTCACGTAGGTCGTTTTAACAACGCGGATTTTTGACAACACGTGTCGACGTGTCGCTAGTCGCGAATAAACTCTGCTTGAAAATTTGTGAATGTGCCTGTAATGCTTCTCCCGCACCTTCGCGACGAAACTTTGTACTGAATGCGTTTAAAATAAGCGTTCGTAATTTGAATTTATTTTTATCGTAATGAATTTCGGGCTGTGTGACTATAGACTTTAGATGATAGTGTGACGATAAATTTGTAAGTGCTGCTAAAGGAGCGTAATAATGTAGGAACTAATTCAAACTTCGAACGTTAATTTTAGTACATTATAGAAGCAAAGCTTTGTCGCACAGTTGTGGGAGAAGCATAAACGTTGCGTCAATATGTGCTTGAAAGAAATGACGCTTTGTTCTTAACCGGCTTTGTATGAGCGCAGCGTTTACGTACTTTGTGACACGGATGAACTTAAAACAGCTGTTTCAACATCATTATCAGTCTATTAATTTGGGAAATATTTCAATGAACCTCAAACAAATAATAAATGATCACCTAAAAAGTACAATTGGTAATTAATGAAAAATATTTTTTTAGTTCAGCAATTTCAAAAATTTTATAAGTAAATAATCGGCCATTGTTAACAGACTTACCTGTGTTGGTGTGACTATGATGTCGATGGGCACATCGTGAGGGCCAAACAACTCGGCGGGAAGGGTTTCGAAAACCTATGGCAAAAAGTAAAGAAATATATTAATGACTTAATATTTAAGTTTCATTAATATTTAAAGCGTAAGTGTGCACAAAAAGGTTGTGAAAAATACATATTTTTAATACTTGTAGCATTAGCAAACTACCATACTGTCTGCAGTATGCTAGTATGCCGCCAGTACCCTTAGTACGAACCAATATTAAATTCGAATAGTTTGCGAGTGCGAAATGTCATTGTCATATTTTGTATGAAACTTGAACAACAGCGCCACAACAGACGTAACGACAACTAAAAACTAGTACACATTTCACGTAGATCGAATTCGAATAGTTGAATTCGATCTACGTCATACTGGTTCGTGCTAAGGGTACAGTTTTATAAAAAGGTATCATAGAACTTTTGGAGGCTCGACTTTTTCAGCTTTATTACAAAACCCTAAGTAAAGTTAAACCTGGTTTAAAATGATGCTGTTACTTTGTTTACTAAAAAGAAGACAGAGACAGCGTTAGGTTTAAACCATGACTAACGATAGTCCATATTTTGTATTATGGCGGTTTGAGTACACTATACTACTCCAAATAGTTGTAATATCTGCGAGATGGCTAGTGCTCAGTTTTTATACTATTCGTTTGTATCAGTGAATACTGTTTCATTGCATTTTTTAATAGTTTGTGTTTAAACAAACATTATGAGTAAATTTAAGTCCTCCCACCTCCAGTCGATAATAATACTGCAGGGTTATAACCATTCACATACCTGACAATCATGTACAGTTGTAGCGACCAATGCGCTGGGATTAATTGCCTTCATATGCTTCATTAAGCCGAACTCCAAGTCGCCATAGCCTAATTAACAAAAATAGAACAGCTATTAATTGCTTTGTAAATGTGGTTTGAAATCTACTATATCTAAATAGAGGAGCGTCAAGTCATTGGATGGGTGACCAAAAATGTATTATCTCGAGCACCTCTGAAATTCTGAAGGCACTTTAACCCTCCTCTGGGGGTCAAGCGCCTAACGGAATTGCTATGTCTATCCATATCGCTTACGTTTTCATTTTGTTATTTCTGACCACCGAAGGTTTTCAAATACCTTACGCTCATTTTATTTAATATTGTTGTTACCAATTCAAAGGAAAAAAAGAGGGGCATTTTCGGCGGTCAGAAATAATAATACGAAATCGTTAGCGATAGAGATAACCAACGTTAAACGATTGGCCCCCTGGTGGCTATTAACATAGAGATCAAATATACGCTTTGAGACGGCGACAGGCTCGAGCCCGCGTGAGGATGGGCGCGTCGACGCGAGGCTACGCGATCAAATTCACCGGGGGTTGCTGGCCATCGCATTTTTTATCATCTTTTAACGCGACCGCACGTGGAAATAATTGGCTTCGATATTGCACTCATTGCGTTTTTGGCAGAAGAGGAGGAAAAAGAAGAACATGTCAATAATAAAATACACTGAAAGCGGTACGAGCATCCTCAAGGACTCCCGAGAGGGTGCGAGGAAGCGCGCGAACGAGTCGCGAGCATACGCGAGCCGTATGTGTCGTTATTCATACAATTTTCTACTTAATGTTAAAATTATTATCAATTTAGACAGTTATTTGCTCCAGCATTTAGGCGTTGTCTTAACTGACCCTTACGTTACGTTGATTTTACTACAACAAAGACCAAATCAAATTGCACAAGCAATGGGTTCTTCTTGGATTCAGTTTTTTTAAGGAAATAAGCTGATTTCAAATATTTTCCATTTCTTATTATGTTACTAGATAAAAGATATCTCTTTGCATTTTTTTGTATGTAATAAAGAGGTACCTAAATAATTGAAAGTTTTACTAACCTCTTCCTTTGCCAATACGATATCCCTCTTTGGAGACAGCAACTGATCCCATTACCACCAGGTCCAGAGTAACGCAATGTTCAATGCCTGGAAGTAAAAAAACGGAATAACTAAGAGTAGTTTTCTCTTCCTACTTAATATTAGGGACATAATAAGATAAGACGCTGAATAGCTTTTAAGCTTTGAAGCTTGCAAACTGACAATATCGTATCTGGACAATTTAGACTAATTTTTTTGACTACTACTAAACTATTCACGTGCTGCCTAGGGCCTCCCAATGATTGGGCAGCCGCTTGTGCTCTAGCAGGAAACCCACCATGGGAACTAGAGGCCCAAGTCCTGGCGGAACTACATAAGGAGAGGACCGCGGCGAGAAGCCGCGGGGAACGCCCTGACATAGCAAACCTGGTCAGAGTTAGACGCCAGACAGAGGAAAATTTAGGGGAGCTCTGGGGAGAAATGATGCGGGCTTCTATGTTTGGCATCCAGACATTAGAAGCGATCCGTCCTGTGCTGGATCGCTGGAGGAAGAGGGAGCATGGGTCGCTAACATTTCGGCTGGTGCAGGTATTGTCTGGGCATGGTTGCTTCGGACAATATCTGCATCGGATAAAGCGAGAGGCGACCCCGTCGTGCCACGAGTGCGGCGCTGCTGTAGATACAGCACGACACACCCTTGAGGAGTGTCCGGCGTGGTCCCAGCAGCGCCGTACTTTGGTAGCGGCAGTGGGTAGGGATCTCTCTCTGCCCGGCATAGTAAATGCTATGCTGGGCAGCGACAGATCTTGGCAGGCCGTGGCCTCTTTCTGCGAGGATGTCATCTCGCAGAAGGAGGCTGCAGAGAGGGTTCGCGAGGAGCAAGCTCACGTGGACTCTCTCCGACGTAGGAGGGTGAGGGCAAGGAGACGGGGGAACCCCCGTCGTCTTCAGGCTCTCCCTGACAGAGGCCTGCGGGGTTTGGACTTGGGAAGTTCAGATCCTGCCTTGCACAGGTCTTTGCTTATGGCTGGGGATGCCCATGATGCTCCAGGGCATCCCCAACACTCTCCTCATCCGGGGGGAGAGGGGTGTGTCCGTTCGACTCGGACGCTCACTGGTGAGGTCGCGGAAGATTCCGTAAGGGTTCCCGTGGCCTCGTCTAGTGCCGTTGTCTCAACCGTGCTGGTTGGGACCGTGGACCGAGTGAGGCGAGGGGCATCGTCAGGTTTTTAGTGGGTAGGGCCCCCCCCTCCTGGGCGGTCGCTGAGCTAGTCCCAGGACTGGCTGAGCGGACGGGCAGGACGGGTCGGGAGGAGTCCCACATAACCCCGTTGCCACTCCCAGGTGGCGGGGTATGCGTCATGCATTTTCCTGACGAAAAAAAAAAAAAAAAAAAAAAAAGGGCCTCCCAATGACCCCCTCCGCCCAGCTTATGAATATCTGACAAACCTGTTATTATAGGAGCACAATTGGAGTTATTGGGCTGTATCGTTTTATATGGTGAATGATACTTGTAAAGAATTTTTTTATTGGAAAAATTCCACGCGGACCTGGCTGTAGACAGGACTGGAACTCGCATCCTCCGCTATCCGGGCTGATGCACTGACCATTATGCTACCGCGGCCTTAATTGTCCGTGTCGAATTCTCTCTAGTATTTCTTAGGCTACAAGGTAGCCTGCTCCGCGTGGAATTATTTTTAATAAAATTTCCTTTAGATTTAAACATCTAGTAGTTGAATGCGTAGAAAGTAAAAAAAATATAACGATAGTTCTAAAGTCCTACGGTGACCACTAACCACTTAATGTCTTTTTGCTTGTTGCCAAGAATGTCTAGGACTTACAAGTTTTATTCTTTTCTTCAATGGGTCTTTTCGAACGATCAACTTATTACTCTTGGAAAGGCATTATCACAAATACTTAAAACTCGGTCTCACCAATGGGCTTTCCATAAGTTTCCATGCCTTTGCGTGAGACTGCCTTTTTAATGGCCGCGGGACCAGTCTCCCCTTCCGTCAACTCCAGTCGGTTGAGGAAACCGTTCTGTAGACGTGGCACTGGCACGTACAAGGTCTTTTTTTGCTCCAGGCATATCACCCTGAAAGAAAAAAAAATATATAGCGCCATCTGACGAAACCACACAAAGTATCTGAAGGCCGAGGTCCCCGTAATGAATGCCGAGATTGCGAGGGAAGTCGTGGCATCCTGTTAAGAGTGGCCGTACACTGCCATATTATGGAGTATGATGAGATCTAAATACAAAAAGTAACTGATACTCGTAAATTATCAATTATTCTGATGTTTCACTTTTGATAAGATGTATGCCACTCCGCAAAGGCCTTCCATGCTATGGTCTAATACAACTACAAAGTAATGACAACACTCTCTTTAATACCGAGTCATAATTTACCTAACAAATTAGCTAAAATTAAAATGTTATTAATAACAACGCCATCTAGGTTTTGCTTACAAAACTTATTCCTCAATTTCGGTTAGAATCACGACGCGATGTTAACAAAGATAATGCAATACAAATTGATAGTTTGTTTACTTATTTCCGTTATCGCTCGACAGGTTATCGCTATTGTTAAAGGTCTTTCTGCGTGTATTATGGTATAACCACTTAACATTATCAAATTATAATACATGAATAAAAACTATCAAGTTTTGGTCGGTGTGTTTTTAAGTGATATTTTGGAAAATGTATTTGCAGCCCACCACTCTTTACTTTTAAGTAGGCTCATTTCTCTATACCGAGTTTAAGGTACTAAAACTAATTTTTAAATTAATGTTACGTAGAATATTTTTTATGTATAAAAACAAAATCATGGCATGTCAAAAAAACGTTGAATCCACTTTAACATTATAAATACGAGGGAAAATCTGACTACATGTTCGTCTGTTACACTTTCACGGGTAAACTGGTGGACCGATTGATGAATTTTGGTACGATACTTGACACAAACAAACCGATTTCAAGTGGAAAAAATATCTATTTATGAAGAACTTAAATATACTCATATCGGAATCTAGGTCAAGTGAAAAAAAAACACTGAATACGTTTAATAAGAAACAGAGGAAGTCTAGCCTTCGAATGACTTTCAGCTGCGTATTATAACTACTGATTTTTGTATGTATAATTTACGTCTAAGAAATACGAGTACTAATCCTTAGACATAGGTAAGTAATACCATACTTTTCTACTGCTATATTTACGCGATTAGGATTTTAGAGTCATGATTCTATCGTATATTGTAAACCACTTGTTAAAATGGTTAATTATTCAACATATTTATTAAGCGTTAACAGAGTATTGGTAACTAGTACATGGATCTTTTTTTGTTTATATTTTAAGGGAATGTGTTTTATGTACCCCTTTATTCACAATATCACAACTCACAATACAGCTAAAGTTAAGTAGTTCTCAATAGTCCCATGTGATAACGAATAAACTAGTTAAAAGACTATATCTAATTAGTGGTTGTTTTGCCTGGGGGCGGACTTCGCCCAACGAGACTATAGTTTAATATGTTACATAAATAAATCGGAAGTTTTAAACGGAATTTCTCTTGGAAAACAGATGAATCAATTACTAAGTTCTATACCATTAACGATAATAAAATCATATACAATTTGAAAGATGCATTAATCATTTTATATGGGTCTACACTTTTCAAATTAGTTTTACATAAGGAAGTTATAAAATGACTATTAAATGCATTGCATTACCCAAGATATCGGTCGGTGCTTGCATAACTGCAATCACTGTTGCATGATATATTTACTGAATTCGCTTTACAATTTCAGTCACTCGACTTGGATTCACAGCATTAGAAAATGTGCAATTAAAAACTTCTTATATTCTCTCAACGAAAGATGAGCAGGAAATTCTCGATCAGAAACTAACGTTCAATGAAACAACAATAAGGCATAGTTTATCCTAGACTCCATCAATGTCAAACGGGACGTCATTGAGGAGTGGTTTTATAAGTAACTGATGCCGTAGACTTACGATTTAGAATAATGTTGGCATGACTGGCTTCCCGCACAACTTTCATTCCATATTTCACTCCACAAGTCAACCTCCTCAAGTTTACTTTCACGTCAAGCGGTAGCAATGTTGAGGACATCCAAGACTCTCTCTTCATCTCTATGCCAAAACTCATTATATTCGGTTCAGAGGTTGAGGTGTGGCCGTGGCACCCTGTTAATACTGAAGCCCATGCACGAGTTTTTGACAGCTCCGTTAAGTATCATAATCATCAAATTTTGTATGGAAAAGCCAGTTTGTTCTTACGTTCGATAGGGGCGCTGCTTAGTTTTTATAGAAACTATGACGATGCGATAAGTTACGGAGCTGTCAAAAACTCGTGCTTGCGCCTCAGACCACGCTACGCCAGACAAGATCTCAAAGTCAATTAGAAGAAATAAACCGTATTGGATAACATTACGTTTTTGATAATAGTATGTTTTAGTTGATGAATAAATATATTCAAACTGCGCGTTATACGTATGTAGAAGTCGAAAGAGGATTTAATGGGAAAGATATATTTATTTCGCAATTTAATTCTCTAAATTTTTAGTGTAGCACTGAGTTGTATTTAAAATTAGTTCTATTAGTACTCCGCAATATGGCCAGTTTTTTTTCAAAACGCGTTATATACTATAAGCGCTCTTGGAACTCCTTTATAGATCAACTAGCGGCCGCCCGCGACTTCGTACGCGTGGCTCGTAGAGTAAGAAATAAAGGTTCACTGCTCGTTACCCGTAAGTGATAGCGTGATAATATGTAGCCTATATGTTGACCAGACTTCTTAATAATATTCGTGCCAAATTTAATGAAAAAAAACATGCAGTACTTTTGAGTTTATCCCGGATATACATACAGACAAAAAATCTAAAAACTATATTTTGGCTTGGGTATCGATAGTAGATCACAACCCAAGTATTCTTTAAAAAAAATATTCAATGTACAAAATATTATTTGACTTTCCTACCATTTTATTATATGTATACATCAGCGAATCAAATTATTATGCTTTTTCGAGTTGAGAGATTTGAGGATTTTGTACAGTTTAAGATAAATTAATTTAGAGTTATTTACCTTACAGGTTCTTGTGGTTTATCAGGATTAACTTTGACCGTGTTGGCAGTCTTGAAGACTTCCAGCTCTGCCAACTTGGCCGCTGCCTCGGGAGCTCCCTTGAAGTTAGGGATGCGGTTGTAGACCGGCCGCGGGAACATCGCCAGCCCGTTCGACTCCAGGTGACGCCATACTTTGAGGCGGAAAGACTGCTTGGTAACTTCTTCGGGCACTGCCTTTTTCGCTGGAAGATAAGAGCTCGTTAGAGATGTGAAAAATAGTTTAGTAAAAGTATTTAAATACAAAATGCAAATGCGTACTTGTTAGCACTATTTCAAATAGAAATACAAAATAGTTGTAAATAAAAGTATTTAAATACAAAATGCAGAATACGGATTTTCAAAATAGGTTTTGAAAATAAAATACCTTGTTAAGCAATAGCACATATTTTTATTTAACTGATTTTAAAACTAGTATTTGTTGAAAGAGTTCATCTTTCATGTTCCGCCTATGGGGCCTCATAATCATTCCACCAAAAGAAAATAGTCGTTCAACAGGGGCAGAACTCGGTAAGCAGGTATTATATTTAAGGAAGAGTTTTTTTTACCTTTGGATACCTGTTAAAGGATTCTAAGGTATTGTCTTCATCTTTTAAATATTGTAGTGTTTCCAGATCTATTGAAGGAGTATTTACATTATTACTGGCTGCTGAAGAATCAGAGTCCTCAACAAACATATAATAAGATTCTGTCCTTTCCTTCTTTTTAATATAATATGTCCATATTAGAAAATATAGTAATAATAGGATTATTATCCAAAAATGTTCTTAGTTTAAAATGAATACGAAGGAGATAGCATTTAAACAATTCCCTAAAACGAAGGAGATTTTGTTAGCTGGTTGTGATTTGATTTTGTAACCCTAATTTCACACCCGGCGTGGGTGTGAATGTCATGTCAATGTCATTCACGTGCCATAAAAGTCTTGTGAGACTGTAGTTGATAATTACAACACTACTATCACGATCAATGCGTTCATAAATAAGGTAATCTTGGATTTAAGAATGAAAAATAGGAAAAAATCATTAAAAATGTAACAAAACTATTTTGTATTTTATAATACTAAATATTTATATAAAGTATTAAATAAATTTAGAAAAAAAACAAAATACATTTAGAAAAAAAGTATTTCAAATATAAAATAAAAATAGGTACTTTGTATTTGCATTTCAAATATATGTATTTCAAATAATTCACATCTCTGGAGCTCGTTTACTTTTACATAGACATAGGCATATAGTGGAAAGGTATATCTGTGAAAATTCGTACAACGTTTGCAAAAATGCAAAAAATTACGTACGCACTTCTAAAGAATTTGATTTCAAATCTAAATTTTTATTTATATGTGAAACGCATCAATAAATGTGTAATTGATTCAGTTACACAAATTTTGGAGCTCGAGTGCCTAGTCAGAGCCTACAATGAAGTTGCATAAAAATTACAAATTAACTATAATTGATCTATCGTTACATCGTCTTTTCTGTATTATGTATGTTTTAGTATCAGGCCTTTGTCTGAATACCACCAGGTGTACGTGTTTTTGGCTTAGGTTAGTACTGCAAGTAGGGTTGCCAGACCTTAAAATGCAACGGCCGGACTGCGCACTATTTTGCCCTAAAACCGGACATATCTTTTTTATTGACAAACAATGTTTTTACAGCTGGGCTGTTGAAAAAAGTATTTATACGTGATGTAAAGTGAGAATGAGATAGAAGATGGATGCTCTCTTGTCCGCTCGGACGCTCGTCCGCCCATCGTCGTACGAATCGCCACTCTGACAAAAAGCCTAACAAAAGCCGAACATGCCAAACACATATTTGGCCGGACGCGACCGCAAAAAGCCAAACATGTCCGGCTGAAGCCGGACATCTGGCAAGCCTTACTGCAAGTGACATAGGAGAAGTGGGAACAGCATAAAATCAGTTATGTACTTACTACATACAATACATATATACATTACATATATACATTCTGTGTTATATTCTATATGTATCGGGAATTATTCAATAAAACAAAAAAATACAAAGCCTTCAAAGTAGGCCCCAGCAACAACATCTCCACCATTTCACCCAGTCCTCTCCTCCATACATTTTTCGTAGGCTACTTGCGGTATGACCTTTAGCTCATTCAGCGAATTTTTCTTTTATGGCTTCTATCGACTCAAAAGGTTTTCCTTGAAGTGGTAATTTTAACTTAAAAAAATAAAAAAGTCAGACGAAGCCATATCAGGTGAATACAGTGCTTGGTCGAGAACTTTTGTTGAATTTGCGCTAAAAACTTTTCATTTGTTCTTGAACAAAATTGTTTCTTTTTTGAACAAAATTGAGCTCTTTTGGAGCTAGTCGAGCGGCGCCGCGTTGCAACCTAAAATGTCAATGAGAATGTTGTGGAGGAACTTAAAAGATATGTTCACCTCACTAGGCAACTCTCTCAGATTCATACGTCGATTTTCGAGCACTAACTTCTTGATTTTGTCGATGTTTCCTTTGCTCGTAGCGGTTGAAGATCTACCAGAGCGCGGCAAGTGTACACTGCTACTTCTCGGCCTTCTTTAAAAGCCTTATACCATTCATGCATGATTCGCCGTAGGTTTTTGCTACATTTTTTGCGATTCAACTACATGAAATCTCATTCAAATCACAAAATTTAAGGCACACTCTTTGTTCAACAATATTTTCCATTGTAAAAATTACTGAGGACTCAATACTATGACTAACAAAAAAAAATGGATGCGTGTAACTTATGTACGCGCGTGAGAAGTTTTACTTCTTTAGCATCATTAAAAATATTTTTTAATTGCATGCAAATAATTAATAATTACAATAAAATAATAAAAGGACTGGAAAAGGATAGTTAACACAGTCAATTAAGTTCAGTTTTAATTTGAAAAATTAAATAAATATTCAAAATATTCAATTAAAATCACTACTGAATTTAAGTTATTAGTCCATATGTAATTAGCACTTGTAAGTAACTAAAACACGTTGTGTCTATATAGAAACTAGAAACATGTGGATATATATTATAAATATGAAAACAGTGATCATAGGCGACGAGCGTGCCAACATTGTTTTTGACAACGCGATCATCTTATGGAGCTCCGTGGATCGTTCAAAGTACCTTTCGAACAGATGTCTAATAATGGTGGATTATTAACCACTAAGTGTTAATAATCCACCATTATTAGACACTAACATTCATAACGCGCCCGCGGCCAACTTCATGGTGTTACTATTGTGTTACAGTGATGCGCGCGCATCTCGAAATTTCACTCACATGATTTTTTCATAACGCGCCCGCGGCCAACTTCATGCTGTTACTTTTGGGTTACAGTGATGCGCGCGCATCTAAAAATTTCACTCTCATCATTTTTTCATAACGCGCCTAAAGAAGTATAACTTCAAAAAGTGCAGTATTAAATAAATTAAATGACAGATCCAGCTCAAATTTTGCGCGGTAAATCAGTATAGAGCTACCAACCTGCAGTAAAAAAATTAAAACGACTTCTTTTTCGTGGGTCTTTTTATTGTATCATCACTACCGATGATGAATGTATTCAATAAGCGAAAGAAGTATCTGGAGATAAACAAGTGTAGTCAATTTTATCTGCTGACCAATATTTTCTGAATTCCAAAGTCAGATCAACAACAGGTAAGCGTTCCAAAGAAATATACGGTGGAAATCCTATTTTGACAACTAATCAGCTTTCGACTGACCAGTCACCTACCTTATTGAAAATCATGTTGGCATACCTCCAAGACAACGTCCAGACTGCTGACAAACGCGATAAAATGAAAATTCGATTAGAAGAGAAAATAGTTCTAATTCAAGAAGACTTCACCTAGCTTACCAGAATTTTGCAATGCGAAAGGTTACTATAATTTTCGTCTGTTTAGAAAAAGCAGTCAGCCATCACCATTATTATGTGGTTGTATTGTGAGGTGAATAACACGATTTATCTTTTTAAATCCTACAAATATGTAAATCATTACAATCGTGTCTCTGTCTAAACTACAAAATTAATGTTGTATGTATAATATGAATATACAAGGCAAAATAAGTTAATAAAAATTTATGGATGAGTATAAAACCACTAAATTTTTGTAAGTTCTGCTAATTCTAGCTTCCTTTTCAAACCTACTACACGTTTGTTACTCAAAAACACCAACACTTCTAACAGGATTTACTCAGACGATATCTGGTATATGTTGAGAGAATCTCCACTAAAAATAAAGTGGTAAGGGAGGAGATCTACTCCTGGCGATAGATGCGTTTATAATTTTAGTAGGAACACCTGACTAAATACGTCTAACAAAAACCAACAAATCATAAATGATATGATGATGGTTTGGTTGACAGAAATATGCAAAACAAATGTTACAGTTATAGGCTTACAGGTCAATTCAACGTGGAAGGTGTGGAACAAGCGCGATAAAATTCAATCATAGACAACAAACTAGAATTGAATGCAAAAACGATGATCGAGGTCAAGAAAACGGTATTGTATAGGTTTTTTACTCTTGGTCCTGCTGAGATTGCGGTAATACAAAGAAAACTTAGAAATGTTTAAAGTTCGCAAATACTAAAACTACGTTCGTAAAAATATTGAAATAAAAGTTCAATTGTTTAATAGCGATGGCTGCTTACAAGCGTTTTAAGGGTTTATGATCAGTCTATTAACTAACCCCCTGCTAGTGCACAGGCAGGCCTTCAGTATGGATGGAATAAGTAAAGAGGCATGACCTACCACTCCAGCCCAGGGCAGAGTTTTGGGTGCAAACGACTGAGGGTTATTCTTATTAATATTTGACTAAGGACCTTATATTAAATGAACACGTGTCAAACGTTTAACAAGCTTAAAACGTTGAAAACTTATGCCTATAAAAGAATATATTTATCTTATAAATTGTGTTACATAAGAGACAAGATACTGTGCAAAAGCACTACCAAGGATATAAAATTATCATTAAAACATCAATAAGGTCAGGAATGAACCACGCGACGTGGTGCGGTGCATATATTTACGTGTATATTTACACAACGTGTCTTGAATAAGGCAGCCTGTATTATAGATGCACTAGCACCTGGTAGAATTACCTTTCTTCACGTTAACTGCTAAAAAACAGAATTTTAGAGTGCAATAGAATCAACAAAAAAAAATGATTGGTTGGTAAAGTATGCCTCATA